GAGAGAGATGAGAGAGGTAGGGGAGGCAATCTTACATGTAAAAATTGTATATGCTTTAGTAGCCAGTGACTAAATCAGAAACTGAAATATCTTAAAAGACGCGATCTGCGACATTAACTCTACAAGTTTGTTCGGGTTTTATACAACAGCTGAGATCATTTGACGGTGGAGTCGGATATAAAGGGGCTACTTTAACTGTTTTGTGCATTTGAATTGAAATGAGCATAGTTTTTATTTTGCAAAACAATTCAAATATTTAACATTTGTTTAACGCCTTTTTAGTCAACCGTCAAACTAATTTCCGCAGAAAAACAGGTTATTCCTCTGCAAGTTCTGTGGGTCCAAAATCCTCGAGAAAAGATTTGACTGATAAGGCATAAACCATTTAACTGCTTTGTTACTTGACCAGGTTGACCAATATTAAAAAACAGGCACCGAGCACAGTATCCGGCCCGGTCACATTATACTGACAACGGATGAACCACTTGTTGCCATTTCCCTAAACGCTGATGTGCAGTGTGCTGCGCACAATGTGTGAAGGATACAAAAAATCTAAACGATGACAATCATGGTTGGTGTAAATTGAGGAATGATTAAACAATATATACGGTTTCGTGTTTAAACATTTACACTCGATTTTTTTCTATGATCTCGCTACATCTTTAAGCTAATCTTTCTCTATTGTATCTTTATTTTCATAAATTTAGAAACGGGGGTTTTCGGGTTTTTTAAAAGACCCAAATTGACACATGTAAAACTACCAATACAAAGTGGACACAGTCTCATATACAGGTAAACATGGCAACTTTGTACATGTGACTGTACCGTAGCTTTTCTCTACCGGGACACTTAACTCGTAGAGGTGTGAAAATGCAGGTGAAGGGGAGCTATAGGAAAAATTAATTAACAAATATCTAACAACCAGTTGTGTTCGGACACAGGCCCGTTAAACTCTGTTATCAAAATGTTTCTTGACGGTTTTTAGGTCACCTGAGACAAAGTCTCATTTTTAGGTCACCTGAGACAAAGTCTCAAGTGACCTATTGCGATCGCCTTTTGTCCGTCGTTCGTCCGTAAACAATTTACATTTTCGACTTCTTCTCGAAAACCCCGGAACCAATTTGAATGAAATTTTGCAGGGACCTTACATGGACAAAGGTCAATAAAAAAAAGTGGCCGGTTTAGTCCCAAGCCCCCAGGGGCCTGAGGGACGGGGCCAAAAAGGGGCAAATTGACTAAAATTTCAAAAATCTTATTCTCAAGGCCCAGGTCTTAGGCTGCTTTACCAAAATTGTGAATTTTTTGACCCTGGGGTCTCACGTTTCCCCCTGGGGAGGGGGTAAACTTTACTTGTTTGTTTGTTTGTTTGATTTTGTTTAACGTCCTATAAACAGCTAAGGTCATTTAAGGACGGCCTCCCCTGTGTGCAAGATGCATGCGTGTAGTGTATGTGTGTGTATTTTGGGAGGCTGCGATATGTTCGTGTTTGTCTTCTTGTAATAGCGCGGAACTGATGCCGACTTTATAGTGCTACCTCACTGAAACATACTGCCGAAGACACCCAGCAGGACGCCCCACCCGGTCACATTATACTGACAACGGGCGAACCAGTCGTCCCACTCCTAATTTGCTGAGCGTTAAGCAGGAGTAGAAACTGCCATTTTTAAAGACTTTGGTATGTCTCGGCCAGGGGACAGAACCCAAAGCCTTCCTCACAGGGGCGAACGCTCAACAAATGGCCAAAAGTGAGGCATTGTCAAGGGAGACATTAGGAAGAAGAAAGTTATTTAGAAAGGAGAGAAGAGATAAGGTCCCAAATTTAGTCGCCTCTTACGATCATGCAATTGGGGG